CGTGAATTACTTGCTTGCCTCTATGTCTTAATATACGATATCCTATTTAATATTCGACCCTATTTTTATTTTGTTTTCTTATATAAATACATATCCTATATTGATTCATTTACAATAAGTATTTACAGTATTTAATTTAAAATTTCCATTCGATCATATAATAGGTATAAATATACGTATATGTACTAGCAACTTGAATATTTGTAACACTATTTATTGGCGGTAAATTCTCGCTCTGATAAAAATACGTCACTTTTGCACCCTTATTATATACTTTACTTGTACGTGTTTTATCTTCCTCTTTGTCTACATACTATTCTAACACCTCCAAGCAAAATCACGATAATTGATTACAACTATAGCCAGCTTTGAAATTTTGGAAACCGATAAAGATATATAATTACAAAACTCCATTTATATACTTAATGATATGATATGTATTGTTCGGATCCGTGTAATAAGTAATGATATAAAAATTGGACTTTACAGGTATATATTATTTGGCTACTAATTTAGCTATAATTATAAATAAAAAAATAAATGCACTTACTCTTTTCTTTTGAGACTTGCATTAGTAGCAAAAGGACATTAACATATCTCTTCTGAATGCAGTTTTTATCCAATCACGAATTATAGAGATGCAAGTACCATTACATCCAGTTCGTTATGATCATTGCAAGAACAAGAAAAAAAATCATTTGAACTTCGGTACGGTTTACTAGATTCCCGTTATATATCTATGCAATACTCTGAATAATGTTAATAGGATACTTGAAGAGAGAATCAAAGTAAGAAAAAAAAAGAGGCGAGAAAGGGAATGATGAGCTCGTGATATATGGGGGTGGAACTACTATTGTGAAATCATATATTTTTTTGTTTAATAAGAAAAATAAAAGTTTGGGAGCATCGAAAGAAGTGAAGGAGAGGATAAAAGCAAACAAAAGAATGTTAGTTGTGATTTTGGAATGCCTCCAAACACTCCTCACGGGGATCTTTATGAACACAAACCCACACGTATATCCTCCTCTCTCCTTGCCCTCTCCATCGTTATTTCTCTCTCTATAGCTATATATATACGTCTCTATATATGCATGCCGTATATACTACGTATAGGTGCATCTTTTCATATATATCTTTAAATGTGCATCTATGCATATATAGATCCCAATTTTGAACAAACACCAATGTAAAGTCACGTCTTTCAAAACACTTATCATTTATAGTTTCATGCCTAACAGTTTGCTTTCCCGTTAGATAGAATGATTTGATGGATCGTGGATCAGTCTCAAGATTAAAAATGCATATTTTACGTTAGATCAAAATGCTCTCACAGTAATGTGCATATACTAAGTTTTGCATATATATATATGTAAGCGTTTGGATACAAGTACATAAGTTTGGATAGATTAGCATTGGTATAGGGATGTAGAAGATTGTCTATATAGGAGACGGACAAACAAACGTACCCACCAATTCACATGTGTGCCAATTAATCATCACAACAATACAACACTCTACACACAAGTCCCGTTGCTTCATCAAACCCTTTCTCTCTCAAGTCTGTAGCTTAGTTCATGTAGACATTCTACTATTTTCTCTCCTCTTCTTCCTTCACTACACTATCTGTTTCTTTTCTTTTATTATTTAGGGTTTCAAGCAAAATGCACCCTTGATTTTCTGCACCTCTCGTTTACGTCAAGACCCATGTCTTTGGTTAGATATATTGTTGACAATACTTACTTACGAATTAATATCGAATAATAAAGTTTAGTACTCAAATGTATCTAAGGACCAACATTCTGCAGTCAGTAGATAACATTTCATTGTTAAGAAACAGATCACCTGACTATTGAGATTATGCTATAAATTATATGTACTGTATAACTTTCTTTTTGGTATGAACACTGTAGATATCAAATATTATCGACAACCGTGATGCTATTGGGTTTCTTGTTATAGAAAATACCGATTGGAAATTTAAATATGTGTGAGATCATAATATAATAACATTTGTTTCTTATATATAGAGGGTCGCTATCTACATCTGAATTCTAATGGCTACAAAGAGTTACCTTGTCATCGATTCACTTTCAAAAGTTTTTCGCTTAGAAATGATCATTTTAGCAAGACAAGTAAAATATTTTTTTTCCTATTCCATATTATCTATTTGTTTATGTAAAAGAGTCTCGTGTTTGTGACAGCTATATCTCTTTTGTCTCATCCCCCATATGAATTATATTTTCTTACCCGAAACTATTGATTTTAGTATCATTTGTTTCTACGATATGCACTTAAATTATGATACAAGCAAAAAAATATAATGAGATCCAATATTCACAGATTAAAGTTCCACTTGGAAAACAATCATTGGTTTGCTTTCCTACGTATTAGGAAAAGGATTCTGATTGTACCTGTAAATTTATACGTCCGATTTATGAACCACTATGAGATATTATTTATTAGTACGTACAAGTTATTTTTATACTGAGAAGATATCAAATATCACCATAATATTAAGCAATGTTCAAGAAATCTATATGCGGTAGTTAGACGATTAGTTGAGGATTATTGATTATATGATTTTTGAACACATATACCAACTTTTAAAAAATAGTTGAATTTTTTTTGTTTCGTTTAAGTCTGATTTGCCGAATAGACGAATTTTTAAGCACCTGTCTAATCATAGTTTTAGAACATGGATATTAAAACTTAATTGAGATTTTTTTGTGATTTAACATAAATTACCAAAAATGTTAGCCTTTTATAAGTATGTATTAATACACAAATACATCATACAATTAAGGCTAATATAGCTACACAATAATCTAGAGTCTAGATTGGTTATCCCCTTCTTAGAAAAACTGACAAACAATTGTATTCAGAACGATTTTGCCAAATCCTCTTGTATAAATACGTTATGATTGTTATAATCTTAGATGCAAGATTATATGAATACTTCTCAATTCCATCAAACATTTTTTTTCATTTTGTAGATGAGAATTCTAGACGTACATCGCATAATCTTTTTAGTATTCAGACTGTTAAATATCCCAGATATTCATAATCAGTGTTTAGCTATTCTAGTTTAAAGAATAACTTAGCTAATTTTTTTCGTAAAGAGTAACTTTCTATACATACAATACTAAACAGAGTTTGAACAAAGAGTACAGAAAATCAACATTTTGACATTACCACTAATTAATCATCACAGATTTGGTAAGCAATTTCTTTCATTCAAATATCTATTAATACTATAAATCATGAGAAAAGTAATGTTTAAGACATTTGATCGACTCACATGTTTCTACATCATACTAATTTGATCCAGTCACATGTTTTCACATCATCTTAATATCAAAAGATTTGATTCAGTCACATGTTTTCACATCAATTTTTGCAATTGCACTTTCATATAAATAATGATTATTAGAAGAACATTAAAATTCAATAATGAAGATTTACTAGGTTTAGATTAATCCAACAAAAGTCTTGATAAAATGTTAAAATATTTGATCAAACTATATATATGTTATAACATGAATTTCCTAAAGATGTTGTTTATACCATTAGTTAATTAATATTTCTTGTTGGAAAAAAATCACTAAGTTAAAAACTTTTATATCTTATTATTTTTTTGAGTAATATATCTTAAAAACTGAAATCAGTATACTGTATATTCAAATTAATATCATTTCTCAATCCTCTAAATAAATTCTATAATCTTCACTTGATCGGGTATGCTAACATCTTATACAATTAACCTTTTTGTTAAGCATATTGATTTGCTGATTATAACCACGTTAAATATACTGATGAAAAAATGGGAGGTATATATAGTGGCATATTACCGTTTAATATAAATAATTGATAAATAGTTTTACAAAATCGGATTAGTTGACAAAAAAAAAATCATGATATATTGTAATAAAAATATTTATATATCGCTGTTTTTTCTTTATGTTGGCACATCAATGTTAAGGACGACTCATTAATTAAACTCCAAGATATAAACACATAGGATGGACCATACGTGGGATTTAGAATAGACCAAAAAGACAAAATAATATTGAACACATCTTAAGAAGAATATACAATAATATGTTGTAGTCAGGGTTTAGCAATTTGATCTACCCCACTCTCCCCTTGAATGTGACAAAAGAATCAAATGGGAATTAGGTCACGGGGGCGGCTTTGTGCTATCAAACATCACTCATTTTATTTTGTTTTAAATATCTTTTATTTCGATTTTGTATAGTATCTGATCAAATAATAGACATTGCTCAATCATTTACATCCTCATATTTATACATCAGAATACAGTAGAAACAAATACGCGTTAACGTTTATTTAATTATGACTACGTACACCTGTTTACATATATGCGTGACGACGTGACGTTGGCATGTCTAGTTGTAGACTTATAAACTAATTATAATTAAGCTTTTCACATAATTTACTTGCTGGTTTCCCACGAAAATGGGAGGGTGAACATATGTTTAATCTATACTAGGTGTAGACAAACAATAGCTTAGGACCAAGACTTTACAGAAATGAGAATACAAATTGAATCTGTAAACAAAAGTTGAAATTCCATCCAAGTTATATTTGCTATTGGGAACATATGATATTTCAAAAAAAAAAAAAGTAAAATTAGGTATGATTTCACACAATGTATAATAATCAATCACTTAAATTTACATACCAGAGGAATAAGAAAATTCAATTTTTTTTTGGGACATTGTATATTTATTATTATGAATCAAATATCCAGATTGAACACATTAAAATCAAAATCCGTAGTTCAAAAAAAATAAAATACAACCAAGGTTTTAAATAGAAAAAATAAAATCTAAGGATGGGCCCATTAGAGCCACTTAAGGCCCATTATGTTTCTTTCTAAGCCCTACCCAAAGTGTCCTCTTCTTCAAGCACTACCTTTCTTCTCTCTCGTTACTGAATCAAACTCGGCGCCGCCGCGAGAGACAGCCAGAGAAAGCGAGATGGGTAAGGGGTCAAAGAGCTCAAGGAAAGGGAAAAAAGCATGGAGAGCTAACATAAGCACTGAGGACATTGAAGATTTCTTCGAGAAATCCACCAAAGACGCTCTCTCCGGTGGAAACCTCTCCGCCGCTCCAAGCGAGGAACTGTTCCACGTCGACAAATCTCATGGTTTCTCCTCTTACCCAGTTTATAAGATTTGATGGGTTTTTAGAATATTCGTGAAAGTTTCGATTTTGATTATGGGTTTGTATTCGTATCAGATATTCCGGTGAAACGGAAGATTGAGAAAAACAGAGAGAAGGTGCTTAGATGTGACAGTGTCTTAAAGAAGAACCCTTTTGTTCAGGTTGTGTCATCTTCGAAACCCAAGTCGAAGATTAGTAAGAAGAAGACAAACGTTGTAGAAAGAAAAACACCTAAACAAGCTCAAAAGGTTTGTCCTTTATAGATGTGGAGCTGTAAGTTAATTTCCTGGGAGGTTATTTTTCATATGTCTTTTCTTCCCTTGTTTGCAGAATGTTGATGACGGTTCTGTAATGATGGACTTGTGGGGTGATGATAATAATAGTGGTATGTTTAGTGTAATGAATCGTTATTTTTTTACCAGTTCCTTTTGGTAGAGATGTTAAGATTTGTTTGGTAATAAACTTGTAGGAGAACATGAGAAGAACCCTAGAAAGGTAATGTCTCGTCTACTTGTTCTTGTATTGGAGAAGTGATTTGGTTTGCGGACTGTGACTCATTTCTTGCCGTACAGATTCAAAAATTGACTTCGACAATTCCAGCAGTAGAAGTTGATCCTGCAGGATGCTCATACAACCCTACAGCTGAGAGTCACGAGGTACAGAGTCTTTATTACTAATCAAGTCTCAGTGTCTCACAGATCCGAGTAGTTTGTATTGACTTCTCTCATGTTTATAGGATATGTTGGCTGAAGCAGTTGCTCAAGAAATGCAGAAAGTTTACAAAACTGAGCTAGGGCCTGAACCGGTTCCTTTGACTATTGATGGAGACGCAAACATTGAAGACGAGGCTGGTCTTTTGAGTGTATGTAATAGAATAATTAATGGGAAGAGTGCCTACTTTCTTGGTGTGGACAATGGTAGCGAAGGTGAAGAGGAAGCAGACGCTGAAAATGAAGTTTCTGAGGCTGGGAATAAGTAAGCTCTATAGTTTTTTTTTTTTTTTTACAGAATTTTAATGTTTTTGAAATCTTTCTACTGCAGACTCCCAAGAACAACGAAGAGGGTAACCCGCGTGGTATTGAATAAGCGATCTAGGCAAAAGGCGTTGCGAAAGTTGGAGACGAAAGAAAAGTTAAAAGAGAAGATATCAAAGGAAATTGATAGGTACTTATGTGGATATTTTTTTTTAGTGTAATCTCACGGTAATTACATGTTTCTTACTATTGTTCTTGTGTGCATTCTTTTCCTTAGCTTGCCTAACATATTGAAAGAGATAGCTAAAGAAGATAAGGAGAAACAGAATAAACTCATACGAAAGACTATCGCTAAGGAAGAAGTGCTCAAGATACGTCCTCCTCGTTTGGGGAAACACAAGTATGAAACTAGATTCTTTTTTGCAGATATACATTCTTGTTTATTATCTCTGGCTCACTAATACTCTCTCCGTTCATGTTTATTTCAAGATTTGAGGCTCCTCCTGTGCAAGTCCTCTTAACAGAAGAGATGACTGGTTCACTTCGTAAGCTGAAGGTAATGTACTCTTGGTTCACTCTGACCAGCTTTCTATGGTCCTTGTTAAATCTTAAAACTGAAGAAACTGCTTTTCTTTTCTTGAAAAAGGCATGCTGCACGCTTGCAAGAGATCGATTCAAGAGCTTGGAGAAGCGAGGAATACTTGTGCCGTCAAAAAACATTAGAAGGTAAGTTCTAACAGTGAATGACTTAGTTAAAAAAGCAGGTGATGTTGAGTTCTTAACTATGATTATGGTTTGTGCAGGAACTAGGAACTCTTCTCACTTTTGTCTACGGCTTATTTAAGAAAAGCCTTTTTGCTAGAAACAGCAGCTGATAGCATCTCAGCCGACGACCTTTATATATTGTTGTGTTTTAACATTAAGTTGGTTTTAATGTTATCAGTTTTGAGTTTTGTGAGGAAAAACAAATGTTGCTACAAGTTTCATTACTCGTAATCTTAAATCTCTCTATATAGATATGTTTTTGATTCATAGCAATAAAACTTGATCAATCTGCAACTTTAATAACTTTATTTGGTCTGACGTGTTCCATCAAACGTAGGATCAATGTAAGCACCAGTTATTCATTTCTTACCATTTGAACACGTCTTACAATGTAATCAGTTAGTTCAATACCTTCAATAACCATAGGTTTTGTTAAATCTTTTTTCAGTTTCAAAGTTTAATATGCAAGTAGTTTAAAGTGGAAGTAATTTCCACTTTGGAGGTTTTTCATGTGACTTTGATCATGTCGTTTATGGTTTTGGATGCTTGGGTTATTCCTTGAGAGATTCCCGGTGGACTCTCCAGGATCTTTTCTCATCATATGTTGTCATGTTTCTCCTTTGGGTTGAACTTACGAGTGGATTCATTGGGCATAGTTTCGATTTCACCATCGAGAAGTGTCTTTTATACCATTCTCTTTTCTATGAAAAGAGATGTTTTCTTGGTTTCATTGCTTAATTTTAGTTTCAGTCTATTCACCGGTTTGGCATTTTGCGTAGTGTACGGGTCAGAAGATACAATCGAGATTACTTTGATAACGTATTAGAGTAGAATTTCTATAAATTAATATTTGTTAAATTAATAATTTTACAAATTAATAGTTTTTTCCAGTCTCAACTTAGACTGGTTAGAAATTTGACACAAATTGATAAAATAATAAGATAATAATTTTTAGAAATATAAATATATGGTCTCATTAAAATTATAAATCAATAATTTATATATATACATATTTTATATAAGTAAAACCTATCACTAATATTGTTTCTTTATATTCATAATATAATTATCTTTATATTTTCTTAACATTTAATATATTTTTGATAAGATTTAGTAATATGTATATGCAATATATAATATATATACCCAATAATATAATAAAATTAATATAAATGTCAGATTTAAGAAAATAATAATTAATGTCTATACACTAAAATCAAATATTTGCTTATCTTAGAATAAATATATCTTAACATAAAAAAATTAAATAAGGATACTTTTATAAATTAATATCTCTTTAAATTCTTAAAATTTTAAAAACTCAGTATTATTAATTATAGATGTTCTACTTACTATCCAACATGTAGTTGTTGATGTTCAGTAAAAATATTAACACAACTGCTAATTGGTTTTGTCAGGAATAAGGATATTAGTTTTTAAAAAAATCTGCCTCAGTTTAAAAAATTAGAATGAGATTTTTTCAATAAAAAAGAAAGTAACTTCGGACAAGCATATGAATCAAGAACGCACTACGTGTTGACCATGACCATGATCAAACCAAAACAAACGGATCTTTCCTTCGAATAAGGCAATAAGCATAATGGTGTTCGAATTTTCTTCCTTTTTTATTAATAAAAAAGATTGGTTTGATCCCTTTTTACAACAAACTATAGGAACAAATGTCACGCTCCGGCAATTAAGGTATTTAATATATCCTTAAAGAGAAACACAAATCTTAATTATATAATCAATAGAGCCATTAGAGATAGAGATCTGATCATTTGGAAGATTAACAAAAAAATGGCATCATCAGAGCAAAAGTTGGTAGAAGAAAACGGGTCGGTGATCTCAGGATTGTTGGATAAAGCCAAAGGTTTCTTTGCGGAGAAGCTAGCCAATGTTCCGACGCCGGAAGCCACCGTGGACGACGTTGATTTCAAAGGCGTGTCACGTCAAGGTGTTGATTATCACGCCAAGGTCTCCGTCAAGAATCCTTACTCTCAATCCATTCCTATTTGCCAGATCTCTTACGTCCTCAAGAGTGACAAAAGGTTCTCTTCTCTCTATTTCGATTATTTTACGTACCGTTTGATTTATAGTAAATCTTTATCGGACGAATGAAAATTGAGTTTGTGCACTTGCTAAGACACAAATCAATAACATAACCCGTTCGTGCATGCTATAACATGATCTAGTGTGACATCTATGTCACATGCATATTTCTATTGTCTAAATTCTGAGATCTGTAAAACAAAAAGTAATTGTCTGTTTCTAATGCATATATATATGTGTGATATTTCAATAGTCAATGTGCAATCACTAATGATCTCTAGCACCGGTGAGACCATAACATATATCTACATACACACTGTAAACATTATACGGTTCTAGTAACTCATATTCTCATGGTAACGAAAAGATACATTGTCTCAGGTAGTCCGGTTTGTTTAGTGTAATGTTACGCACGCTTCAAGTGTAATGTAGGTTTCACTGATCACATGCTAATGAATAATGTTTTGTTGTTGCGCAGGATGATTGCGTCGGGCACAATACCAGACCCGGGTTCGTTGGTTGGGAAGGGCACCACGGTTCTGGACGTACCGGTTAAGGTGGCTTATGGGATAGCGGTTAGTCTAATGAAGGACATCAGCTTGGATTGGGACATTGACTATCAACTTGACATTGGACTAACCATCGACATTCCTGTTGTTGGTGACATTACCATTCCTATCTCTACTCAGGGTGAGATCAAGCTCCCTTCCCTTCGCGACTTCTTTTAACTTCATATGAGTTTCTTAATTATATTATAGTTTTCAATAAAACATAGACGATATCGCAGGTTTCATTTCTGCATTTCTCTTTTGTTATTGGTTTGTAAAATACTTTTATTGATTATGAATGTTTCCGTGGTATGTGATTTATAATTTTTATTAGCAGACTGGTTATATATATATTTTTAAAAAAACTAGCAGACTGGTTATATTGCATCGTAAAAAAATATGACTATACTCTAAAATCTCTATCTTGAAAGAATGCTCGAACGCATAGCCGGTACTGAACACCTACCTATATGAAATATTTGCATACGTCTAACAAATTTTTAAAAAATAATATATGTAGGTTTGATGGTTCTTATTGATTTTTTTTATCAAAAGAAATGTTTTATAGCCATGAAATCACTGCTTGGTGCAAAAGTCCAACTTGTATAGTGTGCTGGTGAATTCTCTTTGGTGCAATCTGCATCCCCACCTATCCCAACCTTCTACCTTTCTCCCCCCACCCAAATGACCGTTAAATCAAAGCCAATTTAATACCATTCTCATTTTTCGACTGTAATAATTGATCCCAACTTTGTTAGTCGTTAGGCCCATTGCATTATTTTTCTCTATAGCAATAATGACACATGAAAATGACACATGAAACACAGATGTACATATAAAGTCAACATTCTCCATCCCTTTAGTTGATTTTATATAACCAAGTAATTAATCTGAACCACTCCTCATACACACACACACACACACACAGAACATGTCCGAACCAGAACATGTTCGTCCGCTAGCTCCGGCGACCGTACTTCCCTTAAGCGATTATTCCTCCACCAACAAACAAGCTCTCAATCGTCGCAGAAACCGAATAAAATGCTTAATCTGCGTCACTGTAACATCTCTAATTCTCATCACCATCGTGTTGTCTTTAGTCTTCACAGTGTTCCGAGTCAAAAACCCCATCATAAAAATGAACGGCGTGACAGTCAACGGTCTGAACTCAACCACCGGGACTCAGATCCAACTGT